GAATAACATTTTCAGAGTAATTGCCTCAGAGCATTTGCTGCCTGGAGGCTGGAAACCACCTTGAGTTTTCTTGATGAAGGGAAGGGCTTGAACCCTCACCTACCCCCTTGCTCTTGACAAATATTTGGCCAGTGGGGTGCTGAGGCCAGGCTGGAGTGATTGCTGGCTGCCCAGGGGTGCCTTATCTCACTGGGTGCCGGGTGCTGGGCTGCTCTCTGTTTGCTCTCTGTACGCTTAGTAGGTGGAGTGGGGTGGGAACTGGTTCTGGTGCCTGTGATTCACACTGAATCTCGGCTCTCCAGCTCTCCACAGGGCAGGGCATGGAGACTCACCCTCCCGCGAGTCCCATCTCCTGCCACTCCTTGCCCCTACCTCATGCCTAGTTCCTTGGCCTTCTGAAGTCCTAGTGGTAGCTTCAGCATCCTCTGAGCTTGGCATAGGCCCTTTCCTCCCCCTGGGGAGCCACTCCCTGACCCTTTGGCCTAGTTACCCACTAAGTCCATGGCTTCCTTCGAGACTTGACGGATGCCATGCAGGATCCGGGTTGCTTTGTCCCTGGGGGATGCTTGTCAGCCTGCAGTGGAGCAGACTACTTGTTCATCTGTTTTCACTGGGCTATTGGCCTCCTGCTTGAGAAAGATCCTATCCCCAGGTGTTAGGTAGTGCTGGGTGCAATGCCAGACACTTCACACTCACATTCACAGTTTCAGAGAGTTCACACCTGCCCACAACCTGGGGAGACAGCTGCAAATTTACAGGTAGGGAACCAGGCCCCAGAGGCCGAGTCCCTTGCTGCAGCCAATTCGGTCCTCTGAGGACTCCCTAGAGGAATCTGCACATGCTGAGAGGAGGGAGCCTCCACCCATCGCTGCTGTCACAGCCGCCACCGTGTCCTGTGTTAGAGTTCTCACAGCAGCCCACAGGTCTTCTACAGAGAAGACTGGAGCAAAGGGGTGTGCTCAAAGGGATGTGCTTGACTCCGTGGCAAAGCCGGAACAGGAAGCTGTTTCTGCTTCACAGGCATCTGGCTGGGGATAAAATCGCTTCTTGCTCAGACTTGCCTTTTTCTCCTACTCTTCCTGGTCCTCTCAGGGTGGCTCTGCACCTACCCAGTGCCCTCCCCCCACCCCCCACACCCCCCCACATCCCCCTCCTTCCTGCAGGAGCTGCCACCTCACATTCCTCCCTGGGAACCTCCTGGGCAGGGCTATGAGGGGGAGGCCCACCGCCCCCTCTGGGGAGCAAACCCCCTGTGCTCACAGAATGTTACTCTCACGTGACTTGGAACCGAGAATATATTTCGGAGCTGGATGAGGACCAGTGGCCTCCTTCCTGTAAGAATGTCCCTGGGAGCTGAGGTTTTCTCAGCTCTTTCTGGGCTGGAGGCTCAAGAGAGAAGAGACACACTCTCCAGAGCCCCCAAATGGTGGGGGGCAGAGTGGGCCACTTTGAGGGCTGTGATAATAGAGATATTTTGTAAGAGTCCTTGAGAAAGAATGTCTCACCTTGAAGTTATTACGCTAAAGGAAAGAAATTAATCACAAAGCCTGGACCTTACATGGTCCCCTTAGCGTGAAAGTTCAGAATAGGGAAATCTATAGACAGAAAGATTAGTGGCCTGGGGAGGGACAGAGGAGCCATAGCTGATGGGACTTCCTTTTGAGGCGATGAAAATGTTCTAAAATTGACTTGGTGATGGTCCCACATATCTGTGACTATACTAAAAACTACTGAATTGTCACTTTCAACAAGTGAATTGTACAGTCTATGAATTAGCTCTCATTCAAGCTGTTTAAAAAAAGAAAAGGAGAGAATTCCTCCCTGCCATCTCACAGTGAAACCTACTGCTGTAGAGAAACCATGAAAGAAAAAAAGTCAGCCTGTTTTTTAAAGGACCCATTTGCAAGGTGATGCCCCCAGAGGCAGGGTGGGACACCTGCGGACGGGGCTTCCTACCACAGACTGCAGGAATCTGCATGAACGCATGTGTGTGAGAGGCAGAGGGAGAAAGAACACATTTTCCAGGGAGCTGGAACACAGGAAAGCACACACCCAAAATAGGTCAGAGTCTCGCTTAACCTTGAGGCCCTCTGCACGGCTGCCAGGAACTCAGAGCCCAGGCAGTAGCTGCGTCCAGCAGGTAGCACACGAGATTCTATCACAGGCCTCAGAACAACAGCTTCACCCTGACGTTCCTGCCCTCGACCCCTGATCATAGTCCCATTTCAAGCCACGAGGGAAGAATGGAGCTGAAAAAGGCTCAGTGAGCTGACTCTGCAGACCAGCAACCAAGGGCCACGTTCTCAGATTTTGCCGTTTCCAGGTGCCATCTGTGCATTCATTTACCTCCTATGTATTTTACAGTTAATTTATTTCCTGAAATAATGACATCACTACATAAACATAAACAATGTCACTGTCCAGCTTGCATCTGCCTGCCTTTTTTTTTTTTTTGAGACAGAGCCTCAAGCTGTCCCCCTGGGTAGAGTGCGGTGGCCTCACAGCTCACAGCAACCTCCAACTCCTGGGCTCAAGCGAGTCTCCTGCCTCAGCCTCCCGAGTAGCTGGGACCACAGGTGCCTGCCACAACGCCTGGCTACTTTTTTTTTTTTGGTTGCAGCCATCATTGTTGTTTGGCGGGCCTGGGCTGGATTTGAACCTGCCACCTTAGGCACCTAAGGCCTGGTGCCTTAGCCAGTTGAGCCACAGCTGCCAAGCCGCCTGCCTGTGTTCTAATGGAACTACAGACACCTGGCTCCACCCTGAGCGCTTCTTGCTGTAGAACTGAAGAGAGTGAAGGAGGGAATCATTTCCTTTCTGTGGCATTCAGTGGTCCTCAATGCCATGTCTATTGGTTTCTTATAAGCACCCCTGGCCCACCAGGTCCCACTGGGATTCCATAACAGAGTTCTTTCCCCACGACATACAGTCCAAAGTGTTCCTTTGGGGTTTGGCTCACTCAGCTACCAGGAGAGCGAGGCCAGTTAGCTAACTCAGGCACTGATGCACATCTGTATTGGTTCTCCCTGTGTCCCACACAGGGAGGCAGCTGTGTGCAAGGCAGACCTCACTCCCACCACCATCTGCCCAGAGAAAGCAGCATTTTATCTCTAACCAAAGACACCTGTGTTGGTGCTGTGTGCTACAGAGAAGCGGAGAACTCCCTGGGAGCAAATGAATGAGGGACCCTCTCATATTGGTCCTCCTCAGATTGGCAGGAGGGGACAAGACAAAAGACGCTGAGGAGTAGAGTGTCCCTCCTTCCTCCTGCTAGGCGGACATAACCAATCTATCCTTCTGTTTCTCCATGCCACACACCCAAGTCCTGCTTTGCCATGGATGCGCTCGTGTCACTTTCTAAGTGCCCATTGTGGAAAAGGCCAAGCAATTTCTTTGATCTTAAATGCAACTGTGCATGAAATCTACACTCTTATTCTATGGTGTTCTAAGGATTTTTAGGTAATCAGTTTTGCTCCAGTTCTGATAAGGTGTACAGTGTGTCCCACAGCTCTGTCACACGCCTCAGGCAACCTGGGATCCATTAATCAGCAGAAGAAGTGATCTGGCCAGAGATGCCCATCTCCTGTTCACTTGCCATGACTTGGTTTTGATAAATCCAGATTTCTTCGTGAACTGATTTTTCTACCAAATGTGATTCCCTCCTGCTGCTCCTCAGTCAAGAGAACACCTGTGGAGCCAGTGGTACTTTTTACTTAGAAAGTGGGTGGCAGCAGGCCCAAGGAACTAGGGTCAAGTTGTCACGTGAGTTCATGCAAGGGCAGCCCTGTCCTCAGCCCCTGCTCAGAAGATGGTGCCAAGCTCTGTAGTACCTCAGAGGCCTTTGGCTGCTGCAAAGCCACCTCCACACGTGCCCAGCACACTCCAAGCCCAGCCCACATCTGAATGGGAACAGGTGGAGGAGACTGAGCCGATTTCCCACTGGAGTGAAGAGGAGAGGGGAAGAGAAGTCCAGAAAGTCTCAGCCAGGGGTCGTGTATGTGTGTCCACAGCGAGGAACATGACTGTGCCGCTGAGGGGTATTTCTGGCCCTGCATCTGTCCTTGTGCTTATCTTTGAAACACGGGGCTCACTGGCTCTGGGACAGACATCAACGGGATGTTTCCAGATATTGACAGGAGGAGTGAACTTCCTTCCCACCTGTCCATGGCTGCCTGAGGAGACAGGGCTGACCTGGGCTCTCTCTACCCCATCCCCAACTCTGATAGAGCACTTCTTGGTCTGAAGGATATAAGGACTCAAATCTCAATTTTTTTTTTTTTTTTTTTTGCAGTTTTTGGCCAGGGCCGAGTTTGAACCCACCACTTCCGGTATATGGGGCCAGTGCCCTACTCCTTTGAGCCACAGGCACTGCCCCCTCAATTTTTTACCTGTGTATGTGTGTGTGTGTGTATGTAGAGAGAGAGAGAGAGAGAGAAGAAAGAATGAAAGAAAAGAAAGAAAATACTAATGCGAATAACACAGTGTGGGTAATTTGTTCAGGCAAGTTAAGACCAAAAGACCCTGCTGTTTGCTGCCACTGCATAAAATAAATATTTCAATATCAAAGCAGGTAGGAAAGGTAGAATCTCAGAAGTCTTTCCAATACTGGGTGACATTAAATCCTTTCTTGAAATGAGCTAGTTAACTTCCATGTGCCACAGTTTCCTCAACTGACAAATGGGCAGTACTTTGTTTATAGGGTTGTTCTGAGAATTAACTGACTTAATATTAGTAAAATGCTTAGGATAGTGCCTTGGCATATAAGTGTTTGTTAAATTAAAAAATTAAAACTGTATTTAAAATACATATGACATCAAGGGGATCAGAGAGGATGAGATTGGAGATCCAGCCTAGGGCCTTGGTGGGGATAAAGGGTCTTTTTTGATGGTGAAGATGCCTCTCTTCTGTACCTGACAGCCCAGTGTGGCCGCTGGGTCTGGGCCCTTCCAGGCTTGGGCTCTCCTCTGGCCCGACACTCACCTTTGTCTCCTCCCCTGCAGGTCTTCGGGGGCCTGGTGTGGATCCTGATCGCCTCCTCCCACGTGCCCATTCCCCTGATCCAGGGCTGGGTGATGTTCGTGTCTGTGTTCTGCTTTGTGGCTACCACCACCCTGCTCATCTTGTACATAATTGGCGCCCATGGTGGGGAGACTTCCTGGATCACCCTGGTGAGTGGGTGATACCCAGCCCAGGGTATCTGTGGAGGGTAGGCCAGCATGACCCTTGCCCTGGGAGGCTGGGTGAAGTTGCCATGTTCCCAGGTAGAAGCTGGCTTGGAGAGGTAGAGGCAGAGGCTGAGACGTCCACTACAGGGTCTCACTGGGCCAGCTCTGTGTGCTCCTGCCGGACTGTCTTTTCCAGGGATAATCAGCTGCCCACCCCTCCCCACACCACCTGCACCTGCTGGGTGCCTGTTGGCCCATTCCATTATCCAGGAGGCTGTTTCAGTCCCGGGGCAGCAATGTCCTGGCGGCTGACCAAGGTTGCCACTCCTGGTGGTCAGACCACAATTACTGCCAGGCTTCTCAGCCTCTGCTGTCTGTATAAATTCTGCCATGTGAAAAGGATAAAACTTACATGTGGGACACCTGGCCACTGCCTCTGATAGAGAGCTGGGGACCCTTTGGCTGGGCCTCTCACTCTCACAGGGCCTCCCACTGAGACTTTTGAAGTCACTTCCAAATCTCAACTATACAAAACCTTGCTTTAGTACTTTTTTGCTTCTAAATATACAAGGAGCCTATAAAAACAAAAATCAACAAAACAAAACAAAACAAAACAAACAAGAGTGGAAATGGCCTGGGCCTCTCCCATCCAGCCCTAGTCAGTGAGGCCACATGTGACACTTCCCAGGGACATAACCAGCTTCTGCCTGTGACATCTCTTGCTGCTGGGCTGTGCTGGGTAAGAAGATCTATGGGGGGAGGGAGGGGTAAGATTCCAAGGGAGTGGCAGGAGGCAAGGAAGGGGCGTAGCCATGCAGGGGTTGGTTGCTGTGGCCCTCAGCTGCTCGCATCCCCACATCTGGGCCAGGGCACCTCTCTCTCCCCACCTCACTGACACCCTGTGTGACCTGCAGGACACCACCTACCACTGCATCGCTGCCCTGTTTTACCTCAGCGCCTCAGTCCTGGAAGCCCTGGCCACCATCTACATGCAAGATGGCTTCACCTACAAATACTACCATGAAAACATCTCTGCTGTGGTGAGTCCCACTTCCTGAGGCAGAGGCTCTGGGCAAAAGGCTGCCCAAGCCCTCCTTCTTTCTTCAGTACACTAACTTTTGAATGAAGTCTAACCTTTCCTTCCTTTCTGAAGCAACAAAGACCCCCTGAGTCTGGGCAGGACTGTGACACTCAGTCCTAGTGCCTGAGCACTCTGTGAACAATCCTATTGAACTCTCACAACAACCCTGTCACATGGGGTCATTAGACCCATTTCACAGATGGAGAAGCAGGGCACAGAGAATGTGTGTAACTGGCCCACCATCCATCACCACCAGTCATCAGATATCAACACCAGAGAATGTGTCCCCCCAATCCTAGCACCAATTTAGAGCCATGAATCCGGCCTCTTGGACCACTGACTCCCCCTAAGTATACTTCCACTGAGGCATCCACACAGGGGCAAGTGCCCTGAGGCTGGGGGTAGATTTTCTTTTTAATGGAATGGATCAGAATGACAGGGAGTAAGAAGAGACTGTCTTATTTTATAAAACATTTTTTCAGAGTTGCATGTGTGGGCCCTTGCACCAGGATCCTAACTAATAATGTCAAGTGTGTTTCTAACCATGGATATTGTTTCAAAAATATGAAAAAGTTTCCAGGGGCAGCGCCTATGGCTCAAAGGATAGGATGCCGGCCCCATATACCAGAGGTGGCAGGTTCAAACCTAGACCCCAGCCCAAAAAAAAAAAAAAAAAAAAGTTTCAGAAATTGCACCCCTCAGATTTCTAGGTGGTATATGGTGTTAGGTCCTCAAAGCCTTGTCTGCTGGTCTCTGTGTGCCCATCCCCTGCCCTGGGAAGCCACGCACTGCTGCCTACAACCACTTACCTAAACACAGCCCTTCAGGCTCTCTGGCACCCTCCTCAGGTGCCCCACAGTAGGGGAACATCTTCCACAGGGCTGGTGTCTAAACAGTAGCCTGGCCTTGTAGAATCTTGGGCTCCTCCCTCCCTGGGATACTGGTAACCTACTTCTGTAAGCGTCCTTCAGATGATTCCGTGTGAGCTCCTCTCCCAAAAGTGCCTTCTACCTTCCCCACCCCAACCTGAAGGCTTCTCTCTTAAGAGAAGTCAGCAAAGCATTCGAAAATAATTTCCATAAAATTGCTGCAAAGGACGATAGTGAAATGTAGATGGGATGTGGTTAGTGGATCAGCTCTTGATAGAAAAACCTAGATGGGGTGAATTACTGCCCCTGTCCACTGGCAGATCTCTAGTTGAGAACCACCAGCCTCTAGATACTGCACTCAGATTTTAAATTTTTATCAAAATGCAGCATACAGCCGGAGACGTGTGCAGGTTATGGACAGCTTGCTGAATTTTCATAAAGTTAATACCACAGTGTAAACAGCGTCTGGTCTAAGAATCATGACAACAGCTCCCAGAAATCCCCTCTTGTCCTGTCCTGTCACAGTATACCCCCACCACCACCCAGCTTGTGATTCTATCCCCTAGTTCAGTTTTTCTGCCTTTAAACTTCATCTGAAGGAATCATACAGTGAGTATTCTTTTACATCTGGCTTGTTTCTCTCAACCTTATGTTTGTGAGAGTCACCCGTGTGGCTGGGTGTACATGTGGGTTTTTTATTCTCATTGCTGTAGAGTAATTCATTGTAGGCAAGAATATACCAACAGCTATTTATCTATCCTATAATTGATTATGTTCCCACCTTTTTGTTAGTTGAGTTGGATAGACAAGAACATGCCCAGGGAAAGTCAGGAGTGCTAGAATTAAGAATCAGAGTGTTCTCACCAGGCCAGAACTACCAGGATGAAATATGAACCAGGTTCAATGTAACATCTTGCCTTCCCATTCAAAATAGCAACTTTATCAGTATATGGGAAAAAGGCATAGTCATTACTCAGGATTTAGCGCCTAGCCCTGCCCAACCACAACATTTCAGATAGTTTGGAAGGTGGCCAGTCTGGGACGGGGGAGTACAGGAAGGCACCTCAAAAGCTTTCTCACACACCCTGGCCTTTGGAAGCAGCTGGCTTATCTTTGGCCTTGTGGTTCCTAATCAGGACTGAGCTCAAAAGCTGAGCTTCTCCCCCCTCTCCTTTGCTGGGGGCAGAGCTACTTATTGAAGGGATCCCTGGGATTGGCAGAAGTTGACTGCAGAGAGCTGGAGATTTCTGGAGAAATCTGAAAGTTTCTCCTTAGCTATGGTGGGCAATCATGGCAGCAGTTGGGGAGTTTTCTGAGGGGCTAATATATATCCATTCAAGGTGAGGCACGGTGCTCACACATGTAACCCTACCTTTCTGGGAGGCTGAGACGGGTGGATCACCAGGAGTTGGAGACCAGCCTGAACAAGAGCAAGGGCCGATTTCTACTAAAATACAAAAACTAGCTAAGTGTTGTGGCAAGTGCCTCCCAGCTGCTGGGGAAGCTGAGGCAAGAAGATGGATGGCTTGAGCCTGAGTTTGAGGTTGCTATGAGGTGTGAC